GTGAGCTCCTGACACTGTCTTGTACCCTCCACACAGCTCTGGGGCAGTTCTCCTCCACCTCCAAAATCCAAATTTCTGGAAATATAGTTTTGCTTAAATTGGTCCCAGGACTCAGGCATTCTCCTTCACTAGAGTCTCAGTTATCTAATGCTGCTGTCACAGACAGACCACAGTCTGCTAGCTGTAACAGAAACTTATTCTCTTACTATTAAGGGGCTAGAAGCCTACATTCAGGGGTGCCAGCACTAGGGGAAGGCCCATTTTCTCTGTCTGGTTCTGGAAGAAAGTCCCTGATTCCGCTAGCATCTGTAAGCAAGGCATTCTCTGGAGACCTCCACGTGTCCTGGCCTTTCTCACTCAGGGCCCTGACTACAAAAGGATGAACTCTATGTTTAGCAGTTCTTTCTGAGTGGTACTGGGGTTTCCCCCACTCACTTTCCACTCTTTTAACTCGTGTAATATCAAAGTTATTTCAGGCCATGCGGGGAGAAACTCCCCTTGCATCAGACTAGGCTGTGAAGGGATTAAGAAGTATGGCTGTACACACTTAATCCTGTTATAACCGGTTTATCAGATCATGGAGGATCATGACACAGCTTCCATATTGTATCATTATATACACGCATTTTGGTGGCAACGATCCAAACCATAACAACCTGCTCAGCCAAACAGTTCCCTGATGTCACTTGTCCTTTTGCTGACAGTGCTGCTTATGCCTGGGGGTGAGGGAGGGATGAGGGGGAAGTCTCAGACTCTATAATCACATTCTCCCTGGGTCTCCTTCCTAAGACATCCCTGAGTTTGTTCTCAGCAGCTAAACTAAAGGTGTGCCTAACTATACCACCACGAGGCAGAAGTTATTCTAGAGTAATGGATTTTATTTTTTTAGTTTGGCCTTCCTGAGCTCTGGTGGCCTAGTGGGAAAGGAATTGTGCTGCCAACCCAAAGGCAGATGGTTCAAATCTACTACCTGACCAGTGGAAGAAAGGTGGGCAATGTCCTCATTGATGAATAGTCTTGACTGTACCACCAGATCATCGAATGAACAAACTTGTCTTGGAGGGAGTGTAGCCAGGGTGCTCCTTGGAGGCAAGGATGGTGAAATGTTGTCTCATATGTTTGGGGTATAATGTCAGGAGGGCCTAGACCTGGGAAGATGACAGCTTGCATGGAGAAGTAGAGGGTCAGCGAGAGAGAGGAAGAACCTCAATGGGATGGATTCACACAACGACTGGAACAATGGTCTGGAGCCTGGCAGAGATTACGAGTGAGTTGTGGTGAACTTTAAACACCAACTTTATATGGAAAGGAAACACTGCTGATGTCCCTTGAGTCGGTTCTGATCACATGTTTTGTAAGAGTCTCTGAAGCTACTGTTCCTTGGTTGACTGTCGTGTGTGAGTTTAGAAGTACTGCTTCAAGAATACTCAGCAGGAAGTTAGATGAAAGCATCTTAGTAGACAAACATGCAGATGTGTCCCCAAGAATTATACAGAGAATATTCATGAGACCTCACAAGACCTAGAAACTAAAAGCCTTGAGAGCTTATAGAAAATATAGGTTTAAGAGAAGCTGCTGTCCTTGAGAATTTACAGTAAATAGAGATAAGCTTTGTGTGTGTTTGTTAGGATTATCTGAATGAAGTATTAAAAGCCCTGGTTCCTGCATATCCAAGGACACATTCCTTTCTAGCCCCAAAGATAATTGTTATATATTACTTTAGGGTCGTTGAGATAATTGTTTGTTGTATAGCAAGAAGTCTGGCTTTTTCTGATAGTAATGAATGCTTATATTCTCTATATATGCTGAGAAGAAATAACCGTGTGTGTGTGTGTGTGTGTGTGTGTGTGTGTATGTGTGTGTGTCTTTTTGGCCTGTGCCTTACTTTCTGTCTTTTGTGTGTGTGTGTATGTGTTTTTCCTCAGCAGCTCTGTGTCCTCAAGTCCCTCCAGTACCTCAGTTAGTATCTTCATAACTCCAATCTTTTTTTAATTAAATTTTATTAATTTTAATGAACATTTACAGAGATTTTGGGTTTCCATTCATTCATTGTTGCCATAACTCCAATCTTTACTTGTCTTTGAGGGATTGCAAACATTACATATAACGAGCATCTGAAAATGAATATTTGCAAATAAGATACTGCAATGATGTATCTGGTACAAAACAAAACAACCTGGCTGTCATTAGCAGGTCCTTTGCTCATCAGGATTACTTAATGCTCTAGTAATAAGCACATATAACTTTGTATCACAATTACTAAAAGATCTTGAAAGACGCATAGCCAGGCTGTTTCTTACAGGCAAGGATGGTGAGACTTCATCTCACAGGCTTTGGGCATGTTTTCAGGAGATCCCAGTCCCTGGAAGGGGACTCATATTTGAAAAGTCAAGGGTCAGCAGAAGAGAGGATGACCTTGAGTAAAACAGATGGGCATAGCATTTGAATGAATGGGTTTAAGTACAACAAAGAAGGGTAGGATGGAGCAGGGACTTGACTCTGGCTCCCAGAAGGGCTGACTCCACCACACATCCAGGAGGTGCTGCAAACAGTTATGTGCTCAGCATCTAGCCAAAACGTGGGCAGTTCTAACCCACTGAGAGGTACCTGACACTGAAAATATCAGGAAATACCATAAGAACAAGAGCCTTTGGCAATGAAAGAAGGAGTTCAAGCTGCCCTGAAAGCACTGGCAAAAAATAAGACCCCAGGAATCAATGGGATACCATTAGCATGCTTCAACCAGCAGATATGGACCTGGATGTGCTCACCAGTCTATGCCAGGAAATTTGGAGGACAGCTGTCTGACTGACTGACTGAAAGGGATCTATATTTGTTCCTATTTCCAAAAGGGTATCAAAAAGAATCATAAAAATTATTTTTAAAATTATAAAAATATAATTATAAAAATATCATTAATATCACATGTAAGCAAAATATTGCTGAAGATAATGAAAACAGCAGTACATAGACACAGAACTGCCAGAAATTCAAGCTGGATTTAGAGGAGGCTGTGACACCAGGGATTATCATTGCTGACTTCAGATGGATCCTTGGCTGAAAACAAAGAATACCAGAAGAATGCCTTTGTGCTTTATTGACTCCGCAAAGGCATTTGTGTGGATCATAAAAGTCATAGCTAACATTGAGAAGAATGGGAATTCCAGAACTCTTTAACTGTGCTCACCCAAAACCTACACTTAGACCAAGAAGCTATTGTGTGAACAGAGCAAAGGAACACTACATGGTTTAAAATGAAGAAAGATGTGTGTCACGGTTGTATCCTTTCTCCATACCTATGTAATAGGTATGCTAAGCAAATTATTTGAGAAGCTGGACTCTAGGAAGAAGAATGTAACATCAAGATTATAGGAAGACTCCTTCATTATGCAGATGACACAACCTTGCTTGCTGAAAGTGAGGAAGATTTGAAGCACTTGATGAAGAAGGTTAAAGAATGCAGCCTTCAGTAGGGTTTGCATCACAACATCAAGAAAATAAAAATCCTCGCCACTGGACAGATAGGCACTATCATGATAGAGGAAGACTGAAATTGCTATTGACTTCATCTTCCTGGTATCCACAATCAATACACTTTTACCAGCAGTCAGAAGATCAGGAGATGCATTTTACCGGGAAAATCTGTAGTCAGAGACCTCTCAAAATTTTTGAGAAGCAATGTCAGTTTGAGAACTAAGGTGTGCTTCATCCAGGCCCTGGTCTCTTCAATCACTTGCTATGCATCTGAGAGGTAGATAATAAATACGGATGACAAAAAAAGAATTGATGCCTTTGAGTTGTGGTGTTGGAGAAGAGCACTGAACATCCCATGGACAACCAAGAGAACAAACCGGAATGGAACCAGAGAACTCCTTGGAGACAAAGATGATAAAGCTTAGTCTCACACACTTTGGGCATGTTGCTAGGAGAAGCTATTGCTGTTTTGGAGAGGGACATCATGCTTGAGAAGGTAGGGGGATGTCAAAGGAGAAGAAGACCCTCAACCAGGTGGACTGACACAGCGACTGCAGCAATGGGTTCTTGCGTTTCAGGAAGTATGAAGTTGGTGCAGGATAGAACAGGGTTCAGATCTGTTCTTCACATGGTCACTATGAGTCATTCCTGACTCCATGGCACCTAACAAAAACAGTAACAGAAGTACCTGGGGAAGGCCTGACCATCTGCTTCCGAAACGTCACAGCCTCAAAATCCCTGTGGAGTAATCACCAGCCAAAAGGGAAGACATGCAATTATGCACACTTCATCAAGCACATAACCTATGTCACTGAATAACTTGTGTAGAGATTATTGGATGTTAACCCAACCACGATGTTAACTTTTGCAAAAAACGAAGTAAAATAATATGAAAAACTAAAACCGAAACCAGCACAGTTCTGTTCACAAGGGAACAGGGTTGGGGTGGGGGAGGGGGTACAGGTATAAGTGTAACAAGTGTGGAAATCAGAGGCCCTGGAGTGTGATGTTGGTCTCAAGGAGCTCTGGTGGGCTAGTGGCAAGAAGCTGCCCTGTAATACCAGAGGTATGTGGTTCAAATCCACCAGATGCTCTGCTGGAGGAGGGGCAATCTCCTCCTATACCAGTCAGATCCAATTTGACAGTACACACACACACACACACACACACACACACACACACACACAAAATAATAATTTTTTTTTAAAAAGATGTCTCATTGTATTCCTTTTGTGTGGCTTTTTTAAAAAAAATTGTGATTTCTAACGAAGGTTTGCAAAAAGGTTAGGTTTTCATTCATTTATCGTTGCACCTTTTTCTCTCTCTGTGGCTTCATTTTTAACCCAGTGGGCAACACGCCTCTGAGAAGGGGATCCCAGCCTGGGGTGGGAGCTGCCCCTGTCCTTGAAGGCCCCAGAACCAGGTCACTGTTTAAGGAGATTAGTGAGATCCTAAGCCTCTGACAGACTGAGGCCAGCTGTCCCCCAGCCAGGTGGGGTCCCTCCACCCTGTCCCCACACCCAGCCATGGCCGATCTGTTCTCAGGCCGCGTCTTGATCCGCAACAACAGCGACCAGGACGAGCTGGACACGGAAGAGGAGCTGAGTCGGCGGCTGGACAACCGGCTGGTGTTGCTGTTCTTTGGCGCCGGGAGCTGCCCGCGGTGCCAGGAGTTCGCGCCCGTGCTCAGGGACTTCTTCATGCGGCTCACGGACGAGTTCTACGTGGTGCGGGCGGCCCAGCTGGCCCTGGTGTACGTGTCCCAGGACCCCACGGAGGAGGAGCAGGGCGAGTTTCTCAGGGACATGCCCAAGAAATGGCTCTTCCTGCCCTTCCAGGATGACCTGAGGATGTGAGGCGGTGGGGAAACCTGGGAGGGCTTCCGGGAGGAGGGGGCCTGCCCTTGGAGTATCTCCTGCTGTCAGTGCTGCTGTCACATGAATAGTGTAGATAGCAAAGCCTCTCTTTTCTCACAGTTCAGAAGGCTCGGGATTTCAGCTCCAGGGGAACATTCTTGTCTCGGCTTCTTTAGCATTTCTTGGAAAGCTTCAAGGGGCATCTTTGCTTTGTTTCCCAAATTCCTGCTTCATTGCCTTGAAAGAACACAACTTTATTTTCTTACAATTATGGGCACTAGGCGGCGCACTTTGTCTACTTCAGCTCCTAGTAGGTGCTGGCATTCCTGGACCTGTAAATGCACCTGTCCCATCATCTGTCTTCCGTGTGTGTGTGTGTGTGTGTGTGTGTGTGTGTGTGTGTGTGTGTGTTTAATTTGCAACTACTCTGCTCTCTTTGTAACTCGGAAGGAAAGGTCCCGTGGAAGCACAGTTTGTGCTCAATTACTAAAAGTTGTTGAATTAACCCACCCATTGGCACCATGGAAGAAAGGCCTGGCTATCTCCTTTGGGAAAGATTACAGTCAACAAAGATTAGGCAAAGTTGTCAAAGATTGGGCAACAGCTGAGCACATCAGCACACCATGAGTCAGAATGGACTTGACAGAAAGATTTCGTTTCGGTTTGATAACAGAGAAAAAGTATACTTCCTAAAACAAGAACACACTTATGGGAACCAAGGATTGGGATTTCAACCTTTTTTTTTGGGGGGGGACACACAATTAATTTCATAACTGTATTATAGTATGTGGCTATTTTATTAGAACTTTCTCCCTTTCTGTAGGAAGACCTACCTCTGTTCTTTTCTTCCAACATTTTATTAGGAAGAGTTTAGAACCCAGAAAGGTTGCCAGAAATGTTTCCTGAGACTTCATGAGGATTGTTAACTTTTTGCCCTATTTGCATAGATCTTGTGGAGCCATTTGAAAGTTAGTTGTAGGTTTTGTGCCATTTCATCTCTTTGGTTAATTTGGTTACACAAGTTGTACGTTTCGATTCATCGCTTTGCTTTGAAGACATGATCCCTCACTCCTGCTGCCATTCAGGGAGTTCTTCTTCCCTCAGAGAGGCATATTTCCCCTCTTGAGGCAGAAGCACCAGTTATGAGAGCATTAAAGTCAAAAGTGGGCATCATTTGATCCTCTTAACAAATCACTCACCCAGACTAGTATCGGACAGAGGAGTCCTTGGTGTTGCAGTGTGTTGTGTGTGTTGGGCTGTTAACCAGAAAGGTTAGTGGTTTGAATTCAACACTGTGTCCAAAGAGATTTATAGCCTCAGAAACCAAATCAAGGGTCACAGCTGTCTTGAAGCTCTGGGACTTTGTTTTTAGTTCCAACAGAGTGAGTTAAAGAGTACTATCCACACACATATTTCTGTATAACTTTGCCAGACAAAATACAGACTGCCTTTGTATTCTGAATGTGAAAGTTGAATGTCAGGTAACTAATGATAGATACATATTGTTGTTAGGTGCTGTCGAGTTTGACTATAGCAACCCTATGAACAACACATCTGAATCCTGTTGTATCTTGTGCCCATCTCACAATCTCTGACACACTTGGGCCCACTGCTATAGATGCTGTGTCAATCCATGTGGTTGAGGATCTTCCTTTCCTTTGTCATCTCTCTCCTAGGAAAAACTTCTCCTAGCCACTTGCCCAAAGTGCATGAGATGAAGTTTCACCAACTTTGCCCCTAAACATACCCTGGCTGCACTTCCAGTAAGATAAGACTTGTTTGTTCTTTTGTCAGTCCATGGGATGCACTCTTCTCTAAGACCACAGTTAAACCACTTCCATTCTTCTACTGAAGGTGGTACTCTTTAATCTTCTGTAGCATGTGCTGTGCTTCAACTCTTCACTTTCTGCAAGCCAAGCTGTGTCATCTGCATAATGCAGGTTTTTGATGAGTCTTCCTCTGACCCTGATGCCATATTCTGCTTCAGAGTCCAGCTTCTCAAGTGATTTATTCAGCCCCCCTGGATGGAAGGCACTCAACATACACAGCGCTCCCACAATAGGACTTGGGGACACCAAGATGTGGATGGAACACGAGTAGGCAGTGTTTCATTCTGCAGTACAGGGGGTCAGTGTATGCCAGAGCCAAGTGAACAGAAATCAACAACCGCAAAGACATAAACCAGCCCCAAGGCCACTAGTTACTGTCAATTTGATCATGTGTGTGTGTGTGTAGAATGGTGCTCTACAGAGTTTGAAATATTTTCTTGAATTTTTGGTGAAAGTTTATATATTAGCATCCCACTTAACAAGTTCCACACACATTTTTCCAGTGAGATTTTCCATATATTACCAACATTCTCATTCTATCCATTCTGGTTGTCCTCTTTCCGTTAGTCTTGCTTCCCTGTTCCTCTTCTCCTCTTTGCTTTAGTGTAAATGTTGACCAGTTTGTATCCAATATTTCTTTTTATAGAAGGAGTATAGCACTCATGAGTGTTATTGCTTATTTAATGAGCCAGTCGGTTTAGTTAAAGGTGACCTCTGGGAAGAGTCTGAGTTCAAAGTTTAAAGGATATCTCTGGGTGACAGTCTCCATTGTTCCTCAGGTCTCTGTTGGTCTGCTAAATCTGCTCCCATCTCTCCCCTCCCTAATTTTGTTAAGATTTTTAGTTTTGTTCCACAATTTTCTCCCATTCTATCTATTGTGTCCTTGGTTAGAACAGTTGGCAGTGGTCACAGGACACCACTAGTTCTTCTGGTCTCTGGGCTGGTGAGGCCAAGGATTATATTCCTTTGAATCTTTGGTTTCCTTCTCTTTTGCTTTCAATCTATAGAGACCAATAGCTGTTCTTTAGATAGTTACATGAAAGCTTTTGCCCAAGGTAATGATGGTCCAAAGCCTTCCTCACACCCTTTAAACCAATCCTGCATGGTGCTTGATTACGCCTGAGAGCAATCTGTGATCTATACGTTTTCAGTGGCCAGTTATTTTGGAAGTAGATTGCTAGACTTTCTAACAACATACCTAAAACTAGAATTGTTTATTTGAAAAGCAAATTTCATAGAGTGCCTTAATTTTTTAGTGCTATTGGGGCAGAAATACCATTAAGTGTTTTTAAAGAACAGAATGCATTTTCTCCCAATTCAAGAAGCTAGAAAGCAGAACCCAGGGCACTGGCTCTAGGGGGAAATCCTGGTCTCAGCTTCCATAACCCTGGTGTTCAAGGGTTCTCTCTTGTAGCATCTCTCTTCCTTTTTGCTCAGCTCTTCTTTCTCTCCCTGTAGTCCTAATTGATTGCTTTAACATAATCTTATTCATAACAAAGAAAAACTCTTTTCAAATGGAATCACACCTGTTGTTGTTATGTGCCATCAAGTCGTTTGCGACTCATAGCGACCCTATGTACAAGAGCTCTAAATGCTGTTCTATCCTGTGCCAACCTCGCCGTCCTAAACACACTCATTCCCACGGCTCCACTCACAGAATCGAACCATCTCATCGAAGGTCTTCCTCTCCTTCGCCGTCCCTCCACTCTGCCAAACATGATGTCCCTCTCCAAGGACCAGTCCCTCCTTGCAACATGCCCAAAGTATCTACAAATACAAAAACCAACTATTGCAGTCTAAATGGACTCATAGCTGCCCCTCCAGTTTTCCAGGCCTTAAATCACACTGGAGGCCACTGCTTCTCTTTCTCCTAAGTCGTGACCTTTGGGTTAGCTGAGCAACAACCTAGGAATCCAACACATGTTTTGGGAGATACAAGTCAATCCATTGTGCTACCTCTTGACCAGCTCAGATCTTTTATGAAGTCATTCATTCTTTCATCCCACATTTTCCTGTGCGCTTACTCTGTGCCCCATTGCTCCAGGCCCTGGGGTCAACAGTGAACGGAGACAGAAATCTCTGTCTTGGTAGAGACTGACATTCTCCTGGGGGAAAACAAGAGTAGCAAACTGCGTGGGCAGGGCAGGAATTCAGGGCGCCAGGAATTAAATGCTGGCACAATAGGGGGAAGAGGGCTGACATTAGAGATTGCAAGATGTGTGCTCGGATCTGTAGAGGGAACAGCACGTGCAAAGGCCTGGAAGTGGGATGTTATCCGGGGAGTCCCACAAGGGAGAGGAGCGAGCGTGGGGTCCTGTCCTGGTCCCTGCACGTCCCCCGCTTCGCCGGAGGCCAGCTCATACTGGAGCTCGGGGGAGGTTAGGGTGGACTTCTGCCCAAGCCCGTGTCCTGACTCCGCTCCCCTGCAGGGACCTGGGACGTCAATTCTCCGTGGAAAGCCTGCCCGCGGTCGTGGTGCTCAAACCCAGCGGGGACGTGCTCACGCGCGACGCTGCCGACGAGATCCGCCGCCTGGGACCCGCCTGCTTCGCCAACTGGCAGGAGGCAGCCGAACTGCTGGATCGTAACTTCCTAGAACCCGAGGACCTGGACGACCCGGCGCCGCGCAGTCTCACAGACGCGCTGCGTCGCCGCAAATACCGCGTGGACTCGGAGCCAAGGGGCGGGTCAGGGGGCGGGGCCAGGACGGAGGGCGGGGGCTGCGACGAGGGCGGGGCCGACGAGCTGTTCTGAGACGCACTCCCCGCCCCTTCCCTGGGGTGGGCGGGACAGGGACTCGAAAATTAACATATCCTGGGGCGGGGCTCCGGTTGCAACTCTACAAGACACGCCCCCGGGAAGAGGAGGTCCCTGGAGGAGGACTCAATCATGAGTTACCCCTCAGAAGGGCGGGGCAATCCAAGGGCTGCATCCTTTTCTGGGGTGAAGGCGCAGGGGTGGGGAATCCATTGTGTGACACCCTAGGAGGGCGGAGCCGAGGGGCCGTTCCGAGTCCCCGGAGGGAAAGGACAGAGCGGAAGGGGGCGGAATCTGAAATGAGAACCCCTGGGAGTGGGCGGGACCTGGGGGCTCAGGGATGACAGGGATAGAGTCCCTTTGAGTTTGTGCTAAGGGTCCACTGCCCCAGTACGCCGCCACTGAGTGGCTGGAAGAGAGTATTGGTTTTGAATCCACCATTAAAGGCCAGTAGAGTCGGGGAGTATTCTGCATCCCTGGAGGGGTGGGAGGGATGGGAATTCGTGATGGGACACTCCCCAGGAGGAATTTCCAGAAGGGCAGAGCGGGCTGGAAGGGGGATCAGAAACCCTCTACCCCTTCTCTCTGAGCCCCCCAGGAATGGATGGGGCTGGAGCTCCTGGGCACTTGGCCAGGGCGAAGGATCCTGGAGAGCTTTTCAAGGGTCCCAGGAAATGCTGGAGACAGAGGAACGGGGCTAAACAATGGTTCCCAGACCATAAATGTTAATATAAACGTGAAATTAAATCTCACTCGGTGTCAGCATAATTTTTTTTTCCTTTGTGAAGTTTAATGTCTGCTAGGTTTTCAACGAAAGTCAGGGTTCAAGTCTCAGCCCTGCAGTCACTCCCTGGGTGACTTGGCCTCTCTGCTTGTTTCCCTTTCCATAAAATTAAATAATCTCAGATCCACCTTTTCCAGTTGTTTAGATCACATAAAGAGTGATTACCTGGCGAGTGTTCAGAATCATACTCAGTACACGATTACCTAGCAGAGAAGGGTGGGCTACTAGTACCTTCATATTGTTAAGAGCCATAAAGTCAGTACGACTCGGCGAGCTCTGGTGGCCTAGTGGTAGGAAACTGCACTGCAATCCCAGAGGTGTGTGGTTCAAATCCACCAGATGCTCTGCTGAAGAAGGAGGGACAATCTCCTCCTGTACCAGTCAGATCCAATTTGACGGTACACACATAAAAAGAATAAATAAAAAATTTTAAAAAAAAGTCAGTACGACTCATACAACCCTATGAGCAACATATCTGAACCCTGTTCTGTCTTGTGCCATCCTTCTTGTCTCCAACACTCTCCGGCCCATTGCTTCAGTCCCTGTTTCAAACCACCTTGTTGAGGGTCTTCCTCTTCTCCACCATCCCCCCACCTATTATATCCCTCTCCAAGGAAAAACCTCTTCTAGCAACATGTCCAAAGAGTGAGAAGAAGCTTCATGATCTGTACTGGAAAAGTCTGTAGTCAGGGACCTCTCCAAATTACTGAGGAGCAATGATGTCAGTTTGAGGTCTAAGGTGAGCCTGATTCAGACTATGATCTTTTCAATTATTTGCAACACGTTTGAGAGCTTGACAATGATTAAAGAGGACAGGAGAAGAATTGATGTCTTCAAATTGTAGTATTAGAGAAGAGTGTTGACTATATCATGGACTGCCATAAGAACAAACAGATATGTCTTGGAAATGGTGCAGCCAAAGTGCTCCTTGGAGTACCTTCATTGAAAAGTCCTGTGCCTTTTATATAAAATTGGCTATTTAGATTTTTCTCACTTCCCAAGAATTCCCATGTATACTGAAGTGTTGGAAACTCTCCCTAGTTGCACATAAACTGTTCACATATTTTATGTGGGAAATCACAAAAATAGTTTCCAGAACTATTTTGACAATACATTTATATATAACATGGATTTTTTTTTCCCTTCTTCTTCTATTGGGCCACATTGTGTGGTGGAGGGCAGGCTACCAGTGAGGTCCAGGAGTTCCCCATGTGAGAGTCAATCTGATCACCCAGAGACCTGTCCAAGTCAACCTGCTCTGATTGGTCCCAGTAGCCAAAAGGAATGCAACAAACTGTAGAGAGTAAAAGAGTAAAAGCTCTGGTCAAAAGCCACTTCCTGGCCATGTGACTAAGGGACAGAGGTCACTCTCACAGCCTCATTTCTCTCATTTGGAAATGAATCTAAGACTAAGGCCAGGTTCACTGGTTGAGAAGCGGCGGTGCCCAAACCACTTCCCTTTCTTTGTCTCTGTCACCCCCTGGAGGCAGAATGGGGTATCTCATCATGGGGCCCGAACCAAACATGCAAATAAGATGTAAACATCACGTCCCTCTCCCAATCGCTCACAAGGGCGTGCCAAAAAGCAGTGTCTCCCTGGAAACCGGGGGGCAGGAACTGCTGGGAGAGGAATGAACCTGGGCCTGAGAAGTCCGGGAGGGTCTTTGGAACGGCTCCTCCAGCCCCTGTTCTCACATTCAGTCCACCCAATCTCCAGGTGAGGATACTGAGGTGCAGAATGATGACTCATCCTTCCAGGCTCCAATCCTCATCACAGAGCTTTCCCTCTGGAAACATGAACAGGACCATCTATGAAATGGGCACACTCACATGGGTACCTATGTGATAAGAGGAAGTCTAGAGTTTCTATTCTCTATATCTAATGCTAACCAGGTCATGACATCCTTCAAAGGAAGATATTTAGAAAGGATTTAGCAAACTGCAGTCACACGCCCTATCAACGCTGTTATTACTTTGGCTGTCACCCAGTGCCCAGCCAGTAGGGAGCGCTGGTGGCTTAGAAGAAAATGCGCTGCAAACTTCAAGGCATGCGGTTCGAATCCACCAGCTGCTCCGTGGGAGAAGGATGGGCAATCTCTTCCTGTGCGATTTACCACTTTTGAAAACCTGCTGAAGGACCAGCTATGGGCCTGTTTCGACTCGATGGTACACAACAAGAAGCCAATGCCCAGCCTTCCTCACCTGGGACAGTGAGACCAGAGAGTCCAGATTCAGACACAAATTCATTCATAAAGAGGAACTAAGTCCTGGGACGCTACAACACGGGCACACCTTGGAAGGAACAAGACACAGAAAGATATTCTCAGATCTCACATGTATGAAATGTCCAAAATAGGCCAATTTATGGAGGCTAAAAGTATGCTAATGATTTTCCCCTCCCCCAACATACAGTTATGATTAGAAACTGTGGGTGACTCTGAGAAGAATGGGAATCCCAGAACACTTGATCGTGCAAGGAAACACTGCATGGTTCAAAATTGGGAAGGGTGTACGCCAGGGATGTGTCCTATCTCCATACCTTTTCAACCTATATGTAGAACAGATCATCTGAGACGCTGGGCTCTATGAGGAGAAGTGTGACATCAGGATTAGTGGAAGATTCATCAACAGTCTGCGTTATGCAGATGACACAACCCTGCTTGCTGAAACTGAGGAGGGCCTGAAACACTTGCTGCAGAGGGTCAAGGACAAAGATTCTCACCACTGGACCAATTGGCAGCATCAGGATGGGTGGTGAAGGGATTGAGACTGTTTAAAGCTTTAGTCTGCTTGTCTCCACAGTCAACACTCTTGGCACCAATAGCCAGGATATTAAAAGATGTATTACGATGGGAAAGTCTGCTGTTAGGGACCTCGCCAAAATACTGAAGACCAATGGTCGCTCTGAAGACTAAGATGCATCTGATACAGGCTATGGTCTTTGCAATCGCTTGTTACGCGTCAGAGAGTTGGACAATGACTAGGGAGGATAGAAGAATTGATGCCTTTGAGCTGTGGTGTTGGAGAAGAGTATTGAATATACCATGGCCTGTTAAGAAAACGAACAGGTTCACCTTGGAGAGGCTGCTCCTTGGAGGCAAAGACTCTGAAGCTTCGTCTGACATACTTTGGACATGTTGCAAAGAGGGACCAATCCTTGGAGAGGGACATCATGCTTGGGAGGGTGGAGGGACAGTGCAGGAGGGGAAGGCCCTCTATGAGGTGGTTTGATTCAGTGACTGGGATAATAGGGGTAGGTGTGTCAGAGACACTATGATTGGCACACAATAGTGGCTTTAGGGCTGTTGAACATAGGGTCACTATGAGTCACAGGTGGCTTGACTGCACATAACAACAATAACCAACATATAATCCATATAGTGAGTGTTGAGGTGGCGGGGGAAAATGTTCTAAAACTAGACAGAAATGATAATTTACACAGCATTAAAGTTACACTATATATCACTGGGTTTTTAAGTTTAAAACTGTGAGATTAGAGTTCTGTGAATTTTGTTTTAACTAAAAGAGAGAGGAGAAACACAATATATAGGAATGATTGTATGAAACAATGTGAATGAAGGAAAGCATGAAACACAATGTGGGCCAATTTTGCATACAAACAGATATAAAATAAAAATTTAAAAAAGAAGGAAAGAGAGGGAGTAGGAGGGAGGGGGAGGGTAGAAGAAAGGCGAAAGGAGGGAATCTTTGCAAGAAGAACAAATGAGCCAGAAAGAGCCTGAGGGCGCGAGCTGGGAGGCGGGGTCTTTGGGAACTGTGCGTAGCCCCGAGCAACCGCTCAATTTCTGGCTCCTCAGACTAACACAAAATAACAAAATAGATTCTTTAAAGATTATTTTAAGTTAAAAATCAAACCCTCGCCCACAGTAAAGTGACGCTACTGGCGGCAGCGGGCGCACCTGCCGGGCTGGAGGAGCTGCGGGGCGGGGCTTCGACCCTCGCTCCCACCAGGCGGACGCCGGGAGGGGGCGCGCGCCCTGGGCGCGGGGTCTGGAGGGAGAAGAGACTTTGTCCCAAGTTTTCCAGGAGCTCCCGCGTCCCCGCTGGGCCTGGAGCCCCATCCAGCTCCCCCTCTAGCCTCATTGCGCCCTGGAACCTGTGGCAACCCTTGCCACTTGGCCTCTTCTGACTCCTTTTGGGGAACTTCGGATCCCCCTAACTCTCCTGCCCTCTTTTCCATCCTCTACTTCCCCCCAGACATTCGGACTTCCTTCTCTACCTCCCAGGGTCCCTAATTCCAGCCCCCATGGCCCGCTCGTACGGCGGCCGGGTGCTGGCCGCAATGACCCTGCTGGGAATCCCCGCGGCCGTGCTGGCGGCGCTGGGCGCGCAGCTGCTGTTCCAGTTGCAGGCGGGTCGCGCCGAGCTGCGGGGACCCCGCGCCGAGGGCCTGGCTCCGGGGCTGGGCACGGGCCCTGGGCTGCCGGAGGACGCGGCCGGGGCGCTGCTGCCGCTGGCCGCTGCGCTCGCCGCGCTCGCCCTGGTCCTGGCGCTCACCTGCCTGTTGCTCTCAGCGCTCTGCAGCCACTTGGGCGCCGAGATGGCCCGGGGACCTGGCCCTAGCAGGTAGGAGGAGTGCGCGGGCCCACCTCGAGGGGGAGGCTGGCCGGCCTTTCCAGGACCTCAGAGGGAAGAGCTTGCCTACCTCTTTTTCTCTGTCCTCTCTAGTTACCTGTCCGTATCTGCCCCCCCCCCGTCCAAGAATCCACTGTCTCATAATTTATTAATCCGTTCATTTATTTGTTCATACATCCACGCCTCCACCTACTCTCTTTTTCATTCTCTCCCTCTCCCTTCACACCCATTTATCCACACACCCTCTCATCCAAGAATCCATCCATCCATCCATCCATCCATCCATCCATCCATCCATTCACCCACCTATCCAGCCACTTAAGAAGCCATCTCTCTATCCACACTCAATCATCCAACTACCCATTTATCCATCCTTTCACCCACACATCTACTCCTTCATTCTCTTCCTCTCTCTACATATCCACATATACATATGTCTACTCAAGAAACTGTCTATCCATTAATTAATCCACCCATCCATTCATCCGCTCAAGAACGCATCTCCCTATCCACACTAAATCACCCAACTACCCATTTATCCATCCTTTCACCCACTCATCTACCCCTTCATTCTCTCCCTCTCTACATACCCATGCATACATATGTCCACTCAAGAAACCATCTATCCATTAACACACCCGTTCACCTATTCATCCATCCATCCATCCATCCATCCACTCATTCATGCATCCTTCTCTGCCTTCTTCTTTCCCTCCCCCTCTTTCCATCCACCATCCACCTGTCCTCTCCTTCCCTCCCTCAATCTTTCTTTACCTATCTTTCCTCTTCCTCCCCATCTACCACTCCTCTCTATCCTTCCATCCTGTGTCTGGTGGGATTTTCCAGCCATTTTCTCTCTTCCCTCAATATAATTTACTGATGAGAAATGAGGAATCTGGGGTCAGGCAAAATTATGGTTTGTGAAATGAGGGCAGTCGGGTGCTGAGCAAGGGTCTGGCACAGGTAGCTACTTCCTGAGTGCAGAATGTTGGAGTGGACGGATGCAGGTTCATGGCTTATGGGGGTGGGGATGAGTGGATGGGAAATGGATAGGTAGGTTGGAATATATAGAGGGTGATGGACGGAAGATGGATGGACAGATGGCTGGATGAATGGTGATGAATAGGGGGAGTAAATGGGTGAAAAATAGATGATGCATTAATCTTGTCTTAGTCTCCCAATGCTGCAGTAAGTAAGTAAATTAATTAATTACAATACCACAGTGGATGTCTTTAAAAAACAGACTCTTATGTACTCAGTTTGGGAGGATAACATTTCCAGTGACTCCTACCTTGTTGGTCCCTCTTTGTTAGGCCCTTGGCTTGAAGACAATCCACTGATAGTGTCAGTCGTTCTCTGTGGGTCTTTGTCTAATTTGTTCTTGTGTTCCTTTTTTTTTTTTTTAAAAGTTGTTGTTGTTAATTTGCTCTTTTTATAACTCAGAAGTGGTTAAATTTAGAACCCACCTTCCTCAGATACGATCCAATTACACAAAAATAGAAAGCCCTAATTCTAAACAGGATCATATCCACAGGTCCAGAAATTAGGATTTTCACACATATTTCAGAGAAAGGGAGCACAGATAGTGACTGTTTAAAAAAAGCTAAATGAATGGGTTCGTGCGACATGGTTAAAGAGATGAGTGGGTGGGTGGATGGACGGCAGGCTGTTGTTGAATAGTTAGCAAAGAGGGAAGAAGAGAGAGACAGTAAATAGATGTTGTTGTTATATGAGGATCTAGTCAGAACCAACTCATAGCTGACCCTCCAGTGAGTTTTCAGAGACAATAAACCACACAGGGGCAGACTGCCCATCTCTCTCCCGTGGAGCAGCTGGTAGATTCGAACCATGTGCCTTTGGGATTGCAGCACAGGTTCTTACCACTAGGCCACCAGAGCACACATAAACAAGTGAGTGGCTAAATGGATAGCTCTTGTTGCTGTGTACTGTTGAGTCAGAACCAACTTGTAGCCGACCCTCCAGCAGGTTTTCAGAGGCAGTACATTGCGTAGGAGGAGAGTGCCCAAGGAAATGTGAATGAATCACTAAAAACATATCATTGGGTAGTTTGATGGATGGATGAGTGGGTAGGTAGAGGGCTCGATAGACAGATGGATCAGTGGGTTGATGGGGAGTTAGACAGAGAGACAGATGGGTTGATGGAGCTCAAATGGGTAGATGGTAGATGGATGACCAGAGAATGGATGAGATGGAGCATCAGTGGTGGCTGGGTGCATGCCGGGTCACTTGCGACTTATAATGACCTTGTATATAACAGCCCTAAACCCTGCTCTGTCCCCTGCCAATCACCCTGTCTCCAACACACCCATCCCGACTACCCCAGTCACTGAATCAATCCACCTCATAGAGGCTCTTCCTCTCCTGTGCTGTCCCTCCACCCTCTCAAGCATGACGTCCCTCTCCAAGGACTAGTCCCTTCTTACAACATGTCCAAAGTATGTCAGAGCCTCAGAATCCTTGCCTCCAAGGAGCAGCCCAGTTTAACCCTCTCCAGGATGAACATGTTTGTTTTCTTGGCAGTCCATGGTACCCTCAATACTCTTCTCCAGCACCACAGCTCAAAGGCATCAATTCTCCTTCTATCCTCCCTAATCATTGTCCAACTCTCTGATGCATAACAAGTGATTGCAAAGACCATGTCCTGTATCAGACGCACCTTAGTCCCCAGAGTGACACAGTTGCTCTCCAGCACTCTGGAGAGGTCCCTAACAGCAGACTTTCCCATCGCAATGATGGATAAGTGGATGGATTTGTGGGTGGCAGTTGACCCTTTCATGGGCCCCAGGTCCTTGAAAAAGCTGACCCCTCCTCCCATTCAGGCCTTTCCTCCACTCTCCCCTGCTGTTTCACTTTCTGAGTCCTTTTCTTCATTCCCTCATCCAGGTCCGACTGGTTTCTCTATGACTGTCGCCTCCTCAGACACGTGGCCCTTGGTCTTTTCTGCTGTGGGGTCTCTGTCTACTTGGCAGGTATGTTCTGGACAGGTGGGTAGAAAGGACCTGGGGTGTGAGGCCTGATGTTAGGGTGACCATGGCAGGGGTCATCTCTGGAGCCACCCCACCTCACCCACCCCCTGTGTACAGATCTTGACTTCTGACACTTCCTTGTGCTGGGATCTGGGGCAGATTTCTTTTGTGCCTCAGTTTACCCATGGGCATAATTGGGATAACTGTTGTGACTGACAGATTTATTGGGGGAATGCTGATTTAATACCCATAGAGATGAAGCCTGTGGCTTCCTCTAGACCCAGCAGAGTATCCACAAACATTGACTGCCATTAGAAAGTTTTCTTTTTAAATTTGAGCGTGACTGATGTGTCCAAGTTCTGGATGGTTCTTAGACGTCATGTTTCACAGGTGTTGGAAAAAATGATGCCTTTGCGAGGTGTTGCTAGTACACCTAGGTGAGAAAGGTATTAGCAAAAGGAAAGTTTTACACACAGGTAGAAGCATTCTTGGATGGCTGCCGGAGATGGGAAGGCAGGGAGAGTGTTAGTAAATAGGTAAGCTACACTTGTAAGAGGGACAACGGTGGAGGAAAAAGCAATACTCGGTACAGGGGGGATCAGCACAGTCTCACTGGAAGATAAGGGAAAGGAAGACACGGAAAAGTATAAAAGGATCAGTGGAAATCAGAATCATGGGGAGGAACTGGGGAAAGTGCGATTCCATTGTGTGTATTAAAATCAATGTTCTTGGAATATTGCGTTTGAATGAAAAATTAATTTGCTTTGTAAACCTTCAATTAGTTCACGGAAAAAAGTTGTTGTGGTGAGAGATAGGTATATTAAAAAAGTCAAACAGCAAGGTGTTATCAAAAATGCTTTTCTTACCCATTGCACTCCACATGTGCTGACTCCAGTGATTACCTCAAATGTGGGAAAGACAACTGCATAATTTGTGGTAGTGGGGCACATGCATTCATGCCCTGAAGAAAAAAAAGTTTAAAAAACTCCTCTTCATTCTCTCCCTCTCACACTGATCATCTTTGGTGTCTGTTTACGTGCTTATTTCATATAAATGGGATTATACAGCATTTGTCCTTTTCTAATGAACTTATTTCACTCAGCATGATGCTTTCAAGATCCATTAATGTGGAGATGTCTAGTAAGGTTTCGTATCTCTTTATGAGGGAGTAATATTCTTTGCATGGATGGACCACATTTTCCGTACTTGTTCACTTATAAGTGGACCAGAAATGAAATGTCAAATCCCCAGAAAGAAAGCAGAGAATAAAAAGAATCTCTCAGGTACCAGGAGGAACATATTCATGCTATAATTCCATTGCTTACTTGATAAAACTTTTCTTAGATCCACTTTCTCTGACCCAGGTATGCTGGCCAATGGCTCAAATAAAAAAGATTTTTTAGTAAGACTGAACATCTTGTATTTTGTGTGAATGTCGAAAAACGATGCCACTGTGGACTTGGCACTGAATCACACGTAGGTCTCTGCCAGCCCTTAAACAACCTGTTTGACCAGAAGAAAAGAAATACCCAGTTAGGTGAAAAACAATGGGCGTACTATTACTGTCTTTGCTTCTTTTTCCATCATTAGAAGTTTGAACGATATCTATGGCTTTTATAACTGTATTGTAGTTGACTTCAGGTGTGGCTGGAGGTAATTAGAAATGCCTATCACAAAAAAAAAAAAGAAAAGAAATGCCTGTCACATCACTTATCACTTCCCCAGCTGAGAAAGTTGCCTGTAGCCATAAGTAGTTTTTGCAAGAGGCCTAGAAACAGAACTTTTTCATGGGACAGTGAAAATGTTGAAGACCTAAAAAAAAGAAAATATCCAAGTTTTAACGTATGAGGGGGAAAGAATCACAAAGGGAGGAAAGGTAACATTATGTCAGCCTGATTAAGCGTTAAATTTGGGACTCATTCACCTCCTATTTAGAGCCTTTGTGAGATTAAATGACCTCACTCAGCAAGAATTCTCCACCCAAGCATTCACTCAGCATTAGCCAGGGCCAAAAGAATAATTATAGAAGTCTTTCAGAATTGTCCAGAGCAAAAATGAGGCCTTGATCCGATTTTAATATGCCTGACATGATGCAATGTGGTATCTTCTAAAGTGAGAGTGTGCAGAACCAGAGAAAGGATTTCAAAAGCCCACACAGCACCAAGTCCCCCCATCAGCTCCAGACGTCTATTAGCAGTGGCTGCAGAAAAGGATTCCTCCAGCCTTTAGTCCAAGCAAAAGTCTCAGCGTTGACTCTGATTGGTTTATCCCTCCACCAATCATGATGACCAGGAGAAGGCAATTCACTGATTGGCCAAGCAAGGTTCCATGTAATCATCGATGTCAAAGAGGTGAGTCAGTACTTTCTAGATCCAGTGGGCAGAGTTGGGGTGGAGACTGGACCAAGGCCCTTCACCAGGGGCTAATTCTTCTCATAATCAGAGGACAGTTGACACTATCACTAACATTTTTGGTTGTCACCACTGAAGAAGAGGTGCTAGTAGCACTGACTGCTGAGTCCAAGGATGTCACTAAACATCTTACAACAATAGTGCCAACTGGACATTAGACAATGCAACAGAGGGACAGGTCAGGCCCTTGAGGTCACCTCATTGCCCAAACTGTCCAGATCAGCAAACCGAGGCCAGAGAGGGGCTGTGATCACCCAAAGTTGCCCATACCCTGAGCAGAGTGAAATGTGTACCCTGTCAGGAAAGGATCCAAGGTAGAGGGTGAACATGTGAGACTTAAGCATCAGGGGTGACTCCTTGCTCAGAGCAGTACTGGAGTACAGGGGGCAGGGAACGTTATGGAGACAAGGTGGGCATGTCGTAGTCCACAAACCAGGAAAGCATACGAGACAGGAAAGTTACCAGGCAAGAAGCTGCACTGCAATCCCGGAGGTACATGGTTCGAATCCACCAGATGCTCTGCTGGAGAAGGAAGGGCAATCTCCTCCTGTATCAGTCAGATCTGATTTGACAGTACACAGAAAAATAATAAAATAAAATAAAATAAAAAAGATAAAAAATCCACAGCCCAGAGACATTAAGGTACCCAAGGTTATACACATCCCACCTCTAATTTTATGTTTTTCATGCCCTTGGGAAGACGCCTCGTGCCCATCAGACATTTATTCTCATTCTCCTCTTGCTCCGTCCCTGGTGACAACGAATCCACTTTCTTTCTCTAAAAATCTGCTTGTTTGGGGCATTTTTTCTATCAATGGAATCATCCATATGTAGTCTATTGTGTCAAACTTCCTTTGCTCAGTATATTGTTTCCCTAGATTCATCTGCATGTCTTGTTTATCAGTACTTTTCCCAGTTACTTTGTTGCTGAGTAGTATTCTGTGGTGTGGTGGACCACACTGGATACTTGGGTTGGTTTCACTCCTGTGAAAAGTGCTGCCCTGAGTATTGGTGTTCAAGTATCTATTTGCATCTGTGCTTTCGATTTTCCAAGGTAGGTGCCTAGGCATGCAATCACTGGATCATATGGTGATTCTGTGCTTAGGTTTTCTAGAAATGCAAAAAAAGTGTTTTCCAAAGCAGCTGCACCATTTTACATCCCCCTCAGAATTGGGGATATATATATATAAATGTATTCACACTGTCACCGACATTTCTCATTGTTTGCTTAATTTTAGCCATTCTCAGTGCCTGGATAGTGTGAATAGATTGTGCTCATGGCCTAGCCCAAAGGTCAGTCAGCAGTCCAAACCCACTCAGAGGTGCTATGGAAGGAAGGCCTGGCAATTTAGTTCTGAAAAGACTGCAAGAAAACCCCATGCAGCGGTTCTACTCTGTAACAGATGGGATTGATCTGGAGTCAATATTGTCTCGATGACAATGAATTTTTGGTTTTAGCGGGGTGAGAAGTGGTATCTCGCTGTGGTTTTGATTTGCATTTCCTGAATGACTAAAGATGTTGAACATCTTTCCATGAAATTTGTGTTTTAAAGGGGGCTCTGAAAAAAAAAATGAAGGGGGCTCTGAGTTTACTGACTTCGTGAATTCAAACAAGGATCTCCCAGCCTCCGGTCCTGTGTCTGTAAAGTGGGGTCACCTCTGTCATTTCCTAGCTGTGAAAATTTGGGGGAGCCTCCTGGCCTCTTTGGACCTCTGTTTCTTGATGTATAACAAGATGATGATGTTGTATCTGAGGGTGTAGGAGGATGTATGTGTCTGGCCTATTGTGGGTTTTCTGTGATGATTGTTTGGGGAAGCTCTGATGTTTGTTGGGTGACTAAATGAGAGCCTTTTCCTTCCCCAGCACTGTGCATCTACGCTCTGCTGCTTTTTGAAATTGAGGCTGGCGCTGCAGCTGCTTCCATCCTCGGCTTAGGCGCCCTGGTCCTGGTGGCTGTGCTGACCCACACTCTCCTCCGTGCTGCCCGGGCCACCCACGGTCTCCACGAGCTGTCCCCACCGCCCTTTGAGGATGATCCGGCTCGCCCCACCGAGGTCTCCAAGGCCAGCCCCGGGGCTCAGCCCCAGCAGGGTACCCACCGCCGTTCCCCATACTTGTCTTATCCAGAACCTGGGATTCCCCTTGGACCCATGGCCCCCACCACAGCACCTGCAGCCCTGGGGGAAGGTCGACGGGGCAGCCTGACTGCACCCCGCATGCACCGGGCACTGCCGGCTGCCACGGGGCCCTGGGATGGGGTTACGCATGAGATGCGCAGCATGCTGGGGTACAGATCCGGGGCCACAGGAAAAGACTCCACACTTGTGTGAGTTCAGGGTTCAGGGTGTCAGGAAGAGGACTCTTGGGACAGGTCCAGGCTTAGCAACTGCTTCTTGTTACTGTCAAGTCAGAACTGACTCATAACTGACCCTCCTGTGGGTTTTCAGAGGCAGTAAATTGTACAGGAGGAGACTGCCCATCTTGCTCCCACGGAGCAGCTGGAGAATTTGAACCATGTACCTTTGAGTTGGCAGTGCAGCTCCTTACCTCCAGGCCACCAGGGCTCCCTAGCAATAGAATCTTACTTCCCCCTTAGTTCTTGGCATCTAAACATCGAGGATGTCTTGTGCAAAACGGCTGCCAGGGCTCCAACCTTCACTGAAGAATCTGCCAAGGTGGGACCCATACCTTTAGGAAGACTTCTCAGGAGGCTACGAGGCCCTTTTGTCCGAACTTCATTGGCCAGAACTGAATCCCATGGCCGCACCTCCCTGCAGAGGGAGGATTGGAAAAGGTGGCAGCCCAGAATAAATGACGTTCTTGTTCATTCTTAGTGGGGAGTGTCGGGACTCAGGTGGCAGTACTCTGAACACCTCTGTCCATTTTACAGATGAGGAAAGCGAGGCGGTGACTCACACGGGGGCCCACGGCCAGTACTGAGCGTCCGAGTCAGAGTTCGCACCCGGTCCCGTAGCCTTCATGCTGCAGACTGCGCTCGTTGCAGACTCTGGGACCCGCTGCAGTGCCCCGTGGGCTGAGAGCATCTGACGCCCGTGTGCCAAGCTCAGGGCAGCCCAGGGCCAGGGCCATGCCTGCAGGTGAGAGGTTCCCTCTCTGTGCCTTAGTTTCCTCATCTGTAAAATGGGATTGGAAGCGTTTCCCCCTCAGGGTGCCCACGAAGGAAGCACGTGTGACTGACTCTGTGTGGGCCCCTCAGGGCTATGTGCACAACAGAGGTCCTCAATCTTGTCGCCTGACCCTGTGCCACTGTCAGGGGCAAGGAGTGGGGATGACTGGTGTTTGGGCTCCCAGTACCTTCAGGAAAAGAGGGTGGCTGTTGAACAGTTTCTAGGGCTCATGGAGCTGGTGGGACTCCACATGGGTAAGGGCTGAGACCCAGAGATCTCCAGAGAGAGACCCCCTTCATCATGTATGTTCCACAATACCCACAAATAAATCCAGACCATCTGCTGTCTCTGTGTTGCTGGAGGGATCGGGGGTGGGGGTGGGGATAGGGGAGGGGCAAGGTGTGCCCTTCTCAAACCACAGTCTGGAACCTCAGTTTTCATCGATGCCCACATGGTAGAACTCTAGAGATGGGGCTGGGCTGATCTTTTTCCCTTATCCAAAAGGACACATGTCTCCAGAAGTGTCCCAGCTTGTCCTTTCTGAGCCATAGAGGTTCTGAGGGGTGTGTGTGTGTGTGTGTGTGTGTG